GAGGACAAGAAATTCCTACAGACAGCCTGCTGTGGATGGGAGTCAGCAGGAGGCACAAGGTTCCATGAACTTCAGTAACACTTCTTCACAAATCAGTACCAATAGAAAGCCTGTAATCTGTTGTTGTCACCTAATTTTGCAGTAAAATAAAGGGAATATCATCAGAGTATATTTTTTTCCTTCTATCTCAAACTCCTAATTATCCAATTTGGCAGGCAATCTTACTGAAATAATTCAATGCTTTTGAGAGACCCTGTCTCAGGTGAATGGTGGGAACTGTGATGATGACAGCACATACTCACGGGCACGTGTCCTCAACAGTCACGGAGCCCTCATGTCAACATCATTTCATGACCACTTCCTCTGACTTTGTGAGTTTAAGCCAACTTTATTGAACAAGGTGCTCCCCGATGGATCAGATGGTAAAGAATCAGCCTGCCAATGCAGGAGATGTGGGAGACCCGGGTTCGATCCCTGGGACAGGAAAATCTCCTGGAGGAGGAAATGGCAACCCACTCCAGTATTCTTGCCTGGAGAATCCCATGGGCAGAGGAGCCTGGTGGGCTACAGTCCATTTTCAAAGAGTCGGACACGACTGAGCGACTAAGCATGCACATACATACACACAAATACAAAGGTGTAGCTGTCAGAAGGCAGGTTGGAAACTGTAGCCTGAGACAGTGTAATGTGACTCCTAATGTCACCTTTGGCAGAAACCACCCATTGTCTTCACTTTAATTAAACAAGGAGAAATAAAGCCGCCCGAGTTCAGTAAACAGCTGGCTCAAATTTCAGAAGCTATTCTTATACAACCTCTCCTCCAGTGGGAGAAACCACAATGGCCAAGCAAAACAATGGGCTGTGTGCGTGCCAGCCTCCAGGTGAAGGCCTGCACCTGCGTCCTCCACGGGGCCTGACACTGCCCTGACCGCCGCCCGCACGTGGCCCCGGAAGGTGGGGACACGGCCTCTTTCAAGGACGGCAGCTGCTCCGAAGAGAAGAACTTCTCAGACACCGAGCAGTGAGGGGCTTCTGCAGGTCTGGCTTCTCCGGGGCCTCTCCAGCCTGGACAGAGGCCCATGGGAGCTTCCCGTGGGTGTGGTTGTGTGGGTGGTTCACACACGTGGACTCACAGGGGCCCCGCGAAAACTACACCTGCACCCAGGAATGAGTTTCCGTTGGTGCACTGATATGAATCCACCCCCTTGAGCAGCACTGGAAGGGCAAAGATAACATGGAAAAACAAACACCACTGCCTCGCACGTCAGTAAAAAGCTGTCAGGCCAAGTTCAGAGCTCCGTGAGGCCTGTGTCGTGAAAAGATCCTGTAATCAATCCGCCTGCCACCATCTGGAGGCTCTCACGCCACCTGCATCCTGACAACAGGCTCTTTTCCATGGGCTTTCTGAGTTCCTCTAAGTCTCTAAATGAGAGATGACAAGAATCAAGGTCTCAGAAGAGCCTGTCAAGGTGCCTTCACCCTCCTGCAGCAGAGGGAACACTCGGAAACCGATCAAACTGGTTCTCCACGGCAGATGGCAAGAGAACAAGGATCAAAACCAAAACACAAACAGCAAAGGCGGAGGGAACTGAGACCTTTATCGCCCTCCTGACTTCACTGAACAACAAATAAAGATTTTCCCCATGCACTGTGTACTTTGCTTACACCAGGGCCAGTGCTAAGCATCTTCACACATTACTTCATCCCATCATCCTTACAATGACCCGCGAGGAAGGTGGTAGCATCCCCACTTTACAGAAGAGGAGAGCAGAGCCCAGAAGTAAGAGGGCTCAGTTCAAGGTCACGCAGCTCTGTATTGCCACAGCCCGGGGGGGACCCTGAGCCGACTCCAGCCCACGCTTATAATCACTGCTGTACTCTGTGCTGGATGTGCCTATGAACATGCATGTAGATCTACAGAAACAGCTAGAGCACACAAGTGACTCAGTTTTGAAGAGCCTGGCTACCTCTCCCATCACTAATGATCATGGTCACCTAGAGAAACAGTGATGCATTCACTGTACAACCCAGCAGAACACATGCCACAGAAGTCCACAAGTGTGACCCAAACAGACAGTGAAGTAGTCGTTATCCTTTTCTATTTCTAAACGCCGTGCCCACGGCCACAGCCACAAGAGTGCCTAAGGATTTGATAAGATGCACTTCAAAGCTCGTATCTGATATTCCTCTAAAAGAGTAATTCATCTCAATCTGGGTCAAGGTGGGAGCATTTTTCTGGGCAGCTGTGGTTCAGCACCTGTCCCCCACGCAGTCAACATCCTGCACAATTTTCCACATGGCACTTTCTCCACTGATTTGCCTTTCCCCCGCCTTGCTGATAAGGCGCATGCCGATAACGTGGTTTCCTTTTTACACTGGCTTCCAAGAAATTTGGAGCCCGTCTGCATGGTTTCATCAACTAAGTTAACATTTACAAATGGAGGCTTGCCTCCCAGATCTTTTGCTCAGCCCCACTGCCTGCCATTTTTAGCCAAACTTCACATCCACCTTTTAAACCATCACAATAAACTAAAGATCTGCTACCAGAAAAAAAAATAAAAGAAAAACTAGAAAAATGAGCATCAACGCAAACAGCCAAGGGTTCAGAGTGCAACAAACACATGAAGGGTCCCTGAATCCCTTGTCCCAAACACCCCAGGCAGTCACAAAGGTGCCTTGTCCGGCAAAGACTCTCACACAGCATAACTTCATCAAGTGCAGGGTCCCCGGCAGCAGTCATGGGAGGTTGTCGCATCTTGCTGGTTCGGCCCATCACCGACCTCTCCTCTCTGGTTAGGACAGTGAATTATGCCCAAGTGTGTTCAAAGAAACATGCCCCAGGCTGCTGTGCCCCCAGAAACTCAGGCAGGCCTGGTGGCTCAGAGTTAAAGAGAGCTGAGATATAGTTATTCCTCCACTGCCCAGAAGGACTCCCTGCTCTCACGTGACATGTGCATAGCAGGCGATTGCCAGGTGAAGGGTCCCAGGCACAAAGGTGGTCAGAGGGCTGCGCACAGATGGGTGGGAAGGGCATTCACACCCTAGAGATAACCATCATCACAGCTTCAGGTGAATAAGGACACAGCTCCCTCTCCCAAACCTGAAAGGCTGATGAGTCCCCACGACCACTGATAACCCAAAAGGATGAAGCTGGGGGGATGAGGGGACCCTGTATAAGTTCAAGAAGCACTGGGAAGAGAGGTGAGATGGCCTGGCCATTGGGCACCTGAGACCCACGTCTCCTCTGACCATTTTCCCACAGGTGAGCAATGCCACCTTGGGGAAGGTACTCACCCACAACGTCCATCAAATAGAGATGTTCTGAGAATGAAATACCAAGCTGGGTCTGAACCCCAGCAGCACTAAATTACCACTGATTTCCTCTTGAGCTCCACTGACAAATAATGAGTCTTTCCCTGAACAGTTATCCTGGATTTTAAAATGCGATATATCCTTGATTTTAAACTATGACTGTTTATGCCAATGAACCTGTCTCACTTCTCAATGTCAAGTGCCAGCAAAAGAAGCCAAGATCAGAGGTGAAGGCCTCTCAGTGTCTGTGGCTTGGGAATGCTACTTAACTTTTCTCAGGTTCTTCGTGTCTCAGGTGGATGAGCCAAGGTGACCTCTGGGCAAACATGTCTAAGACAGAGCAGGTACTCAATCACTATAACAAAGGGAGAAATAGAACCACGGCCTCAGTGGCCTGGTGAGGACCCACACAGCCCTCTGGTTCCCAAGGTGACATGGGGGCTGTTGCTGTAATCTGGAGGTCCACCCTTGCCAATCCAAATTGCCAAGTCATGGTGCTAGAAGGTTCTTGACTGATGCGGGGCCAGGAGAGAAGAAGTTGCTTTTGGGCTTTCTGCCCTGAGAAGTGACACCGTGTACCTGAAAGCCCTTCACTAAATCTCCACCGGACAAAGCTGGTGCATTTACACCACCCTGCCCAGCACAGGCAGATGGAGCAGCACAGGCCAGGCTACCATTTATTTATTTCTCCAGCAGCCTGGGGGACACAGCACTTCTGCAATTTAGGAGAGAAAGTCACATGCAGAACACAGGGCTGAGGCCTTTGGAGGGTGTCTACTGCTGCTCCAGGGAAAAACCAGCTCTGGGTCTAGAAGCCACTGGGCTCTCAGCCAACAGAGGCCCAGAAGCAGGAAGGTGGGCAAAACCCACAGCAGGATTTTGGAATCTGTATATGGCAAAGCCGGGATTGAGGGCATGGTACCACATCCAGACTGGAAAGCACAGAGAACACACCTAATATTAACATTATCCCGGAGGAGGCACCAGGGCACACCTGTTTCCTCTCCTCACAGGTGAGGCTGGGAAAGCGAGCCACTTCCAATTTGCAATGAGAAGAGGGTTGTCGGCCTCCTGTTGTCCTGGAGTGCACTGAGCCAGGTGTCCTACAAACGGCTACTAAGTTACTAACAAAAGGCTGACCTCCCCCACCCCAGCCTCACAAGGAAGCCGGTGGGGGGCAGTAAGGAGGTGGGAGGCGGCAAAGAAAACACCCAGAGGCACAATGACATTCAAAGAACATTTCCATTTAGAAAGCAGACAAGGATAAAGATTTGCCAAAGTGAAAGTGTTATCATTGTGTTTACCTCCAATCTGATAGAAAGATGGTCAGAGCTTCCTATTGTTCCAAAGCCCAACACATGGTGCTCTCTATACACACGCCCCAGACACAAGTGCTCTGCCCACATCGTTATCACTAAGAAAATGCACAAGCAGCATCTCTGTGTTACAGCAGGGGAAACTCAGGGCTCTGGGAGATGAATTCCTGAAGTAACTAACTGATCAGAAAGGTCATTCTTACAAAGGAGTGCATGCTTCACCCATCTTTAGGGAAGTATGCACACAGCTAGTGCAAGGTGGTCCAGGGTCCCCACAGAGCTCTGTGAACAAAAGCCACAGCTCAAACAGAGGAAGAGGATCTACAAAGAGGGCACAGCAGGAAGAGTCTCTAGGAAATGCCAATGACTTACCTGTTCCAGGTGGATTTGCGCACAGTGGGGACTCACCACCTAAAGGGAGAAGAAACACAATAAACAGTGGGTTCTCTCAAGAAGAAACTCGGCATCACAATCAGGTGAGGCTCCCAAGTCTGAAAGCACCTCTGACCACATTCACAGTCACAGTTTCAGGATCTCAAGACAGCAAAGACCTAGAGTTTACAGAGTCCAGATTTTTGTTCACTTTCATAAAGTCCTAATCCCTTTCAGAGAACGTCATTAAAACCATGGACCTCTCTTCAACAGAAATGCCCACCACTCATAAATATAGGAACTTCATGTTTAATTTGGAAGGCCTAGGGGACTCCCAGGCCAGGAACTTCTGACCTAGGGCAAAGCCCTTCTCACCCAGGAGCATAGGGAACAGGGCCACGACAAGGAGGGGAGGGAAGTCTGCCTGGGGGTCTTCCAGCTGCCCCAGCATCTCACAAACACTCAGGGCCTGCATTCTCTATAAAACTGAAAGCCTTTTCTAGAACTATTTCCACAAATGGAACTAAAATCAGAGTCTAAATGTGGACATTTCACTCTAGGCTGGAGTTAGTGAGACAGTGGGAAAGGAGTCCCTCTGATTCCACCCAGGCCCCTGCAGATGTGAGCACATTAAGAAAGACACATAGACGAATGTGATGAGGCCACAGTTGCAAAAGAAGAAACACAGTTGCAAAAGAAGAAACACAGTTATGGGTGCCCAGGATGACACACCCAGTGGGATAATACCCCAGCTCTCAAGTCTGCCTTGTGGGGGTGAGGTCTTAGGCTCCACCGCTTCCTGGCCATGGGACCTTGGGCTCCAACCACTCTGGGCTTTGGTTTCCTCATCAGAGAACTGGAGGCAGTAAGAGCTTGTGGTGCTCAGAACAGGGGCTGACACAGGGCAGCTTCTCCTCTCAGGAACAGGGAGCCCTCCCTGAGCAAAAAGGGCTGCAGCAAGTGAGGAAATCAGACTTGCTTCCTGCAGTTCTGAACGGCCAGGATTCTAGCACCTGCAAGCAGGACTCAGCTCCTCCTGGCTTTCTTCCCCCCAGACCCCTTGTGGCTCAATCCTCAAAGAGTTTTCTAAAAATGTGTAATGGCAGCAGAAATTCCAGGGATCTGACTAATTGTCCTTGTGGGCTGGAGTAGGCAACAGTGCACCCTTGGTTCTTGCCATGGCAACTATTTATAGTTCTCTTGCTTATCTTACAAAGTTCCTCAAGGAACATGATACACAGTCATTCATTTGTCTGGGACACATCATTACTCCACCAGGGTTCTGACTCATGCTCTCGTCTGGGACAGGGGCCCTCTCTCCTGGCACCCCATCTTCTTCCTCTCAACCTGGCAGCCCCCCTCCCCATACACTTAGCAGCCTCTCTCATAGTACAGAATCACTGAGCTGAGGGTTGTTTCACTCTACACTGAGAATTCCAGGGAAGCAGGAACAATGTTTGGAAACACATGCACAAATGCTTATAGGATGGATGTGCTGGCGGTCAGACAAGGAGCAGCGTGGTCATGGAACACAGTGATTAATTTTATCCTGTGTACAATCCTCACTTGGTGCAGGCTCGTGCCCTGGTATTTCACTAAATGCTTCGCACACTGGTGAGAAGTGTGCAAGCAATCAGAGCTCCTGCCTTTGACAAATCACTACCCATATTTCATGCAGTGGAATACCAATTCAGCTGATGAAATGAGCTGTCAAGCCATGAAAAGATATGCAAGAACCTTAAATACTTATTTACTAAATGAAAGAAGCCAATCTGAAAAGGCTGCATACCATATGATTCCAACTTTGAGACATTCTGGAAAAAGCAAACTATAGGAACAGTAAAAAGATCAGTGGATGCCAGGGACTAGGGGACAGATGAGAAGGTGGAGCTTTAGGGCAGGAAAACTGTTCTTTGTGCTACTGAAGTGGTGAATATAAATCATTACGTGGCATGCGCGCTAAGTTGCTTCAGTCATGTCCAACTCTTTGCAACCCCATGGACTGTAGCCTGCCAGGATCCTCTGTCCACGGGATTCTCCAGGCAGGCATACTGAAGTGGGTTGCCATGCCCTCCTCCAGGAGATCTTCCAAACCCAGGGATCAAACCCACGTACGTCTCTTACATCTCCTGCACTGGCAGGCAGGTTTTTTTAATCACTAGCACCACCTGGGAAGCCACACATGTCATTATACATTTGTTCAAATCCTAGAATGTATAACACCATGTAAATTATAAACTGTGGTTAATAGTGACAGTGTTAGTCGCTCAGTCATGTCTGACTCTTCATGACCCCATAAACTGTAGCCCGCCAGGCTCCACTGTCCACGGAATTATCAAAGCAAGAATACTGGAGTGAGTTGCCATTCCGTTCTCCAGGGAATCTTTCTGATCCAGGGATCAAATCCATGTCTCCCACATTGCAGATAGAGCCTTTGCCATCTGAGCCACCAGGGAAGCCACTGGGGTTAATAATGTATCAGTATTGTCTCATCAAATATAACAAGTATACCGCACTAATGCAAGGTATTAATCATGGCGGAATTAGGGGGGAAAGTGGGCACAGGTTAACTCTCTATACTACTTGTCTAATTTTTCTGTAAGTCTGATACTGGCCTGAAAAATAAAGTCCAGTAATTACCTAGAAGATGTGTTTGTTAAGAGACCAAAAGCAAAAGCCCTATGTAACATCAGAAGTTCAAGTTTTAAAAAGAGCAATCACTAGGAGGACCATCCAGAAATCAAGCATGTCCTGCATCTCCCACATCCCCTACAGCCACATGAAATGCAATGACACCCACCGCCAGGCCTGGCCCCAGGGTGTCTTCCAGGAAACGAAAGAGGGCTCCATGCAGTGGGGCTCCCCACATCCCACCTTCCGGGGCCATCATAATAAGCCCCACTGAAGGCTGACATCGCTTAGGAGCTATGCAATCAACACCCCCATCTTATTTATACTAACTACCTTCTCTTGTCAGGCACTCACTGTCCTTCACAGAAAACAACAGTTAAAAAAGACAAGTACTCAAGGAGGAAACACCAACTACCACAAACTGCATCAACTATATTCTTCATTAGAAAGTGAGCTAGGGCATGGGGCTCCCCACTTCAGGGGCGCAAGCGCCTCAGTTCAGGGGCGCAAATGTCAGGCAACAGCTCTGCATTCCCGCCAGAAAAGAGCCTTTGGTCCAGGGAATCAATTACCAGCCCTACTGTCTGTTTTAACACACTGCTGTGAAATGCAGACAGCATGTGTCTGCAGAAGAACCTCGAATTAGAATGAATTTGCAAACAAAAATGCACAAGAAGTACCAATTCAGATAAAAGAGGATGGTCTGGGAGGAAGGCAACCTTTCCATACAGAGAAAACTAATGTTGACATCAAGAACTACAAACACCTACTGTAGTAAAACCTTCCTCCAGTGGACACACTGACAAATGTCCCTTCAATGTGGCTCAAACCAAATCCCAGGATGGGAACCACATAGCAATCTCATACATTTCCTTAGAATAAGAAAGAGGGAGGCAGCTGACCACAGTCCGGCAGAACCATGAAGCAATCAACGGTGAGGACACAGCATGTTCTCACGTGGAACGCCCTGCTCCGCACCAGGGACACGAGCAGCCTGCAGCCTGACCAGAGACAGAAACCAGGGCTTCTCTGGAGGAGCCACGTCCAGCACTGGAGCCCCCACGGCTGCAGGCTCTGCCTGCCTCCCCCCTCAGGAGGAAGACACCAGGTAACCGTGCCGAGGGTGGCCATCCTGGGTTCAGGTCGGGTCAGGGACAGTGGGACAGGCTCACCTGCTTTCTCTCCCCATCTCCTCTGATCACAGGCCTCATTGTGCCGTCTGGGTCTTCTGCTATTTTCATCTGACAACAGGAAATGCCACAGTGCTCGGTCATTTGCAGGTGGCCTTGGCCATCCTCAGCATGAAGGAGACGGTGCTGCCTTAGCATCTGGCCTCTGCAGGGCCAGTTCCATCTCACAGATGGAGCTGAAAACTGAGCAGGCCCACAGCTCCCGGAGTGCATGGCTGCCATGTTCAGAGGGACTGGGCAGCGCTCCCCTCACTGAGCCCCTTGCCTGCTGTGTGAGGTGGCCTGAACCAGCGGCAGCGGACGAACATGGGGTTGCGTCACCTCCAGCCGGGCAACCTCACGGGAATGCGGGTGGCTCAATCACAGCAGGCCCAGGGCACCTGCAGGTCCTCCTCCCCGGCCCTCACCGGCCTGCACGACCCGGGTAGCTGGCGGGCGTCCTGTCGGTACCCAGAGCGCTGAGTCCCGAAGAGGCTGGGCCACACAGGCACAACCTTCTAGTTTGGTGGCCACGGGGCCAAACTCCACATTCCTCTCCTAACAGAAACGTCTCCCCTTTCTCACCAGAAGGAGCCTGGGAGTGCAGGTGACACATGACGTGGGAGGGACAGGGCGGGAGGCTGAGCCAGCGCCCACTAGTGACTAAGGAAGCCCCAGAGAGGCCCCAGAAACCGGACTTTATGGCCTGTCGCGGCTCTGTGTGGGGCCGAGTCACCGTTACCAAGGGCAACCACAAACAAACAGGGCTGCAGCTGGCACACCTGGCGACGTGGCGCCGGCTGCCTGCTGGTATCAGCACCCTGTCCCAAAGCCAGCGGGTGGGCAGGGGAGCAGGACAGAGGTGGGACAAGGGGCCCTTGCACCCAGAGTGACTGTGCAGCAGGAAGTGGGAGTGCAGGTGAGTACACGAGGGTGAGGGCGGGTAGAGGAGGCATGTACGAGTGTGGGGAGTGTGTGAGCGCGAGGGTGTAAAGAAGTGAGTGTGTGAGAACACATGAGTGTCTGTGAATGAGCATGTACGGATGAGAGTGTGGGTGAGAGCTGTGTGTGTGTCTCTATGTGACTGTGTGTCTATCTGAGTGTGTGAGTGTGCATGTGTGTACATAGTACAAAAGCCCAGCCCAGCACTTCACTACCTCGAAGAACCATGGTACTTAGTGGACGCCCCAGGGCCGAGCCCAGGTCTGCGGCAAGGCACTTTATCCTGAGGCATAAGGC